GAAGCTATGACAAATGTGTGTGGGGCAGAGAGCAGTTAGAATAGAGAAGGGACCAGTATGGCAATAGTGGTTAAAATGATCGCTCTTGAAAGTAGGTTAAGGGATATACATGATAACCTTTCAATATATGTATTGCAAGCCATAATGTGAGAGAGAAAGTGACAGACAGACAGGCAGACACACACACACACACACACACGCACACATACATGGGGTGGGGAGAGAGATAGAGAGAAAGAGAGAAAGACAGAGAGAGAGAGAGAGAGAGAGAGAGAGAGAAAGTGCCTACCATAGAGGTTGGGAGAGGGGGTGAGAGATAAACTGGGACATTGTTGGTGGGAAATGTACACTGGTGAAGGGATAGGTGTTGGAACATGATAAGACTGAAATCCAATCATGAACAACTTTCTACTTTGTAACTGTGTATCTCACTGTGATTCAATAAAAAAAAAAGTAAAAATTGAAAAATAAGGGAAAGATAATATTTCGGGCACCAAAGTTATGAAAATTCAATAAATGAGTGATTAATATCTTTCTGAATTTTTTAATTGTCCAGTATTTCTCATTAAGATGGGCTAAGGAAGATATCCTACCTGGAACAGGGAGGCAAAATGAGTTATTCTATCTGGAACAAGGAGGTTAAATAAATGATATGCCTAGTCTAGGCCTTGAGGTATAATGTACCATCCTGTCTTTCTGTTCACTAATATTAGTCAGACTTGATAAAAGGCCTTATCTGTGACTAGGTAAAGCCAGAAATTATCGCAAAAATTTGTCAAACCCAGAGTCTGTACAGCTTTCATCTTGGATAAATTGTTCAAATTCCCATACTTCAGTTCACTAGTAATTTGTCAAATAAAGGAGAGTAAGATCAACAGATTCCTGTTTTACAAATATCTTTATATTCAGAATTCATCTTATCTTTTAAAAAAATGGAGAGAGATTAAGGAGACAAATCAAAGGGCTAGACCACATGCTGTGCATGAGGGAGCCTGAGTTTGGTCCTAGCACGAAACCTAGCACACAGTTTCCTAAGCACTATACCAGAAGTAGTCTCTGAGCACTTCCCTCAAATTAGACAACCAACCAAGGAAAAAACATGTCATAAGTGAGACTGAGAACATATTTTCACTTAATGGTATATTTTACAGATGGGTGTGGGATAGAAACATGTATTTGCAAGAGATGTGAAATAGTATCCTTAAAACATAGATGGTGTTGTAAATTGTTACCTCAAAAAGAAAACATCCTTTCTTAATATTTTAAACATAGCAGGTCAGGAATTTGCCTGCATATGACTGACCTGGGTTTGATCATTAGCATCCCACATGGTTCCCTGAGCCCTACAAGGAGTAATCCTGTGTGCAGAGCCAGAAGTAACCCTGAACACTACCATGTGAGCTCCAAAATTAAAAAACATGAAAAAAAACTTTCCCAAATAACTTGAATGATGAATTTACTCTTTATCCAATGTAAATGCATCAGCTTAGTCCTAAGAAATGTTAAATCCATTCCCCTCTTCGGTCAAGGAGGTGTAGGGGTGGGGATAAGGCAGAAAAGGAAGGGAATAAAAGGATTTACAGTAAAAATTGTAAAAATTAGCCTTTAATGAAAAACACATATTTAACTGTTATTGTAAAATATTTGTTACAGCAGTATTAAGTTTAAAGTAGGATAGTGGGTTTTGATGTAAACTTAAAAAATTAATATTTAAATAATATTCTATATTCGGGCTGGAGCGATAGCACAGTGGTAGGGTGTCTGCCTTGCGCACAGCCAGCCCAACTGAGCCTGGTTCGATTCCTCCACCTCTCTTGGAGAGTCTGGCAAGCTACCCGTGACATATACAATATGCCAAACACAGTACCAACAAGTCTCAAAATGGAGATGTTATTGGGCCTGCTCAAGCAAATCGATGAACAACGGGAGGAGAGTGTTTTTTTGTTTTATTCTATATTCAAGGTTTACATCTTCAGGACAGAATTAGTATAAGTTACTCTTTGTGGAAATAATGGATCCATGTTTAGAAATCTAGTTTATGGAAATGTGTACAAATATTTTCTCCAAAGAGCCCCAGATGTATATTTACAGAACAAGTTTCAAAGATTAGCCCAAGCTTTTCCTAAAATTTGGAAAGGCAGCTAATTAATACCTTCCACTACCCAACTCTTTTTTTTTCTTTTTGGGTCACACCTGGTGATGCACAGGTACATAGGATGTGAAATTGCACTGAGTGCTTAAGAAAACAGGAGATTTTTCAGCTAAAGTTCAGCAAGTAAGCAGGAGTATTTCCCAGCCCTTTCCTCTGTGCATTTTTCCTTCTCTCTCTCTCTCTCTCTCTCTCTGCTCTCTCTGTCTATCTCTGTCTCTGTCTCTGTCTCTGTCTCTCTCTCTCTCTCTCTCTGTCTCTCATGGACTTGGTGTAGTTAAAAGTGGGCATGTAGATGCCTGCTTAAGATTTTTGAATGCTGGGTTACATCTCTGAGTTAAGTGACTTCTTGGTCAAATATCAGGGAAGATGTCCTCCTTTATGGCCGAACAAGAATTTTAAGGTGCTTTTAGGTAGAGAGATCTCTAAGTTCAAAAGTCAGAAAGCAGTTTTCATGAAGTTCCTTAATTTTCTCCTTAAGACAAAAGTATTAAATAGCTATTAACTATAAATATTAACTACTGATTGACCACTGTGATTTCTTTATTTTTTTCTGGGTCACACTCGGTGATGCACAGGGGTTACTCTTGGCTTTTGCACTCAGGAATTACTCCTGGCTGTGCTCAGGGGACCATATGGGATGCTGGCAATTGAACCCGGGCTGGCCATGTGCAAGGCAAACGCCCTATCCGCTATACTACTGCTCTTGCGCCGACCACTGTGATTTCTTAGTCTTCTGATTGGGTAAGTCTATTTTCTTGGAACAATCTAAATAAGAAAAATATTCTGTTTGCGACCTTAAGAGACATGAAAAGTCTGCGCCCATGATCAAACTTCATGGGAGGAACCCCTGAAGCCAACACAAAAGTTTCACAACTCTCATGATTTTTAAACTGACATAAGCCTGAAAGAAAAAAATTCTATAATGACAAGTCACTTGTGTTTTATGAGCAAAGGATTAGGGTAAACAACTTCTTTATAATTAACATGTAATTTAAAAAGCAATTTAGGGGCCCAGTACAGTGGTAGGGAGTTATGCCTTGAATGTGGCTGGCCTGGGTTCGATTCCCGGTATCCGATATGTTGTCCAAACACGTCAAAGAGTAATTCCTGAGTGCAGAGCCAGGAGTGGTGAGAATTGCTGGGTGTGGCCCCCAAAGAAATATATATATATATATATATATATATATATATATATATATATAAAGTAATTTAGGGCCGGGGACGTGACACACAAAGGGCAAGTACATATGATTTGCATGCGGGAGCCCAAGGTCTGATCTTCAGCATTGCAAGAACTCCTGAGCACTACCTGATATGCATCTCGCCACCCAATGCTCTCCCCCTCAACCCCCCCTCGCAAATCCTAACCAAATAGAACTACTTTAAGGGAAAGTCTTCAAGCATGCCTTATAATTCAGTATGCGTGTATGTCTACACACCCACGAGACTAGCCAATGATTTGTTTGGTATCACATAAATTTGGTGAAGCCAGTGCAAAGTCTCTTCAATCTTCCCAAAAGAAGAATGCTGAGTACCAAATGAAGTAGAGAGAAGCCAAGAAGGATGGACAACTGGAATTCTTGAACTTCAAACTTTGGACATTCACTACTGCTATAAGTAGAAAGCAAAGAATGCAACCTAGTGCTGAAAGCGTGACTCTGAAGGTGACCAGCACTAAGAAAGATGTCATATAGGATGGAATAGAAGAATGCTCAGTGCTGGATGAGGTCACACAATTAAAGAATTATACTTTAGAATCCTCAAACCATATAAACAATGGATGAAGAACATATTCATGATATGCCTCTTTACCAGTCATATATTTTCATTATGAACCCAAGACTTTAGAATTAGAGTAAAAACAACCACAAGTAGTTTTTGTAAAAAGAAATGCATAATATGTCTCCTTAGAAGACATGACTAATACTGCTGAGAAACTGGACCCATCTCACTCATTCATATGGAAAAATTTCTTTTTCATTGACAAACGTGTCAAACAATTCATTTTCATATTGAAAACATGGTTTTTTGTAAATTGTTAAAGATACTATATTCTAAATCCTATAACTAAAGTTTATCTGTACTCATTGTAGTTGATAAGTTATATAAATAATTTAAGATAATTTTTGGAAGTGTTAATGTTTTTAATCTTTCTCTTAAGCAAAGTTACTTCCTCAAAAGATCTTTCAAGGATCATCTAATTCAGATAAAGTTTATATTAACATTTTGAATCTGGTCCCCCATTTCAGTTTAGAACTCTTGTGTCATTCTAAAATTCAGAGTATCAAAATATTGAAATTTTGGGTAAAGATATTTAAAGATAGCTATCTAAGGTGTTTAAAAATGGGTATCATGTATTGGTACTACAAGAATCCTAATCATAGCTTCGTAAAGAAACAGAGTCCCAGGATTTTACTAGAGTTGTCCAACAGGAGTAACTCTGGATTCAAAGAGATAAGAAGAAAAGAATAAATTTTTATTCGGCCTGCATATGATCTGCCACAGCAACTTTGAACCCCTTTGTTCTTTCAAGTGTGTCTCAATAAAGAAGTAGATGCTGTGAAAGTCATTCCCTAAAAACAGAGGTGAGAGTAAGTTAATGAATGGGAGCTGATAAAAATTCAAGTCATTTCACAAAGGATTTGCACACAGATGAATTGTCACAAGTTGGCAAGCTTTTCTGAAGCCTTGGTTTTTAAAAAATAATGCTTGAACAAGTTGTGCAGAATATAATCTATGCCCTACAAAACACTATGATTTTTATCACCAAGTTATTATTATTTGTAAGATCACCAAATAACAGGGTTTGAAAGCAAAACAGCTGAAAAATCCAACAGTCTGGTCTAACCTGGGATGCTCTGTCTCCTCACAGCCAATGCTCCATCAGGCGGCTTTGTCTGGCTGGCGGATTTAGTGTAGGGACTCTCATCTGCAAAGGTACAATGAAGGGTTTGGTTAATTTTCATCCAGTTTCTAATGCAGTGAAGATTTTCAATGGAATGCAATCCTCCTGCCAGAGAGAGGGAGGGAGGGAAGGGGGAGAGAAAGAGAGAGAGAGAGAGAGAGAGAGAGAGAGAGAGAGAGAGAGAGAGAGAGAGAGTACTATAGAAAGACTTGACAGACCTGGATCCTAACCTTGATTGAATCATGGAACAAGTCAATTCAAATGTTTTGAATGTCAGTTTTCTCTCCTATGAAAGAAGAGTCAAGTCTCTTATTCACCTTCGAGGATTGTTAGTTTTAAGCAATGAAGTATTAAGTATCATTGATGCATATGAAGGCATAAATGATGGAAAAGTATGCAAATATGTAAAATATTTGCCAGCCAACTACGTTCATTGAGAAATAGCAGTGAATTTCAGTAAGAATAAGACAAAGATGGGAGAATAAAGGTTCAATGAGCTCTAGGAAAAATTAGGCAGAATAGCAAAGGAAATGAAAAGAAAAAGTTTATTTCCAATAAGCAGATGGCAGAGCATTAGTATCTTGGGGAAACAAAGACACACAGAATTAGTGAGTCCTCATGGAGGAGTAAGCTGGAAGACAGGAAAATTTAGAGGAAGATCAAACAAGTTAGTTAAGAACAAGGAAGGGATGATGGCTTGGTAAAATAAGGCATACACTGAAGATAACTTATTTTATGCCTTTAAGAAAAGGATGAAAATAACCTCACAATTATAAGAAGAGCAACTAAAGACAGAAGGCACAAAGCGCAAGGTAGGTGTGAGTTAAGCAAGAAGCTGAATGAGGTGCTCAGATGAAGATCATACAGGAGATGGATTCATCAAATTATAAAGCAGATTTTTAAAACCTGGAAAAGGAGTTAGTCAAAGGTGAAATAGAGGAATTATTACTTAAGATGGCAAGTATCAGTATCAAAATAGAAAGGAATTCTCCACAGGTCTTCTGCATAAAGTTGAAGAGATATCTGAGTGACCCATTTAAACATTTTCAAGACTAGGAGGCATATGGTCTAACCTGAGGATACACATACTAAATAATTTCCCTTCATATCAAATAAAGTCACATGATCCAGATGTTACTTCTCGCCACATGAAAAGTCAGTTTTTTGTTGTTGTTACTGTTGTAACAGAAAAATCATTAAAGAATCCCAAAGCGCTATAACGAACATGGCAAACTGTTAAATATAACAATGATTTAATTCAGCAACAAAGCTTTATCATTTGAAAACATTCATTCTCCCCACTAAGTAGTTTGTTTCAAAATTGAGGAACTCGATTTCTTTGTAGTTGAAATGATCCACGATTTCTTCATAAAACTAACAAGGGTTTTATAAGCAATGACAAAAAAAAAGAAAGATTAACACTGCTGTAAACGGCAATTAACTTAAAAAATGGAAGCCACGCTGTTTTGTGTTTATATTCCAGTTGTCACACAATTCTTTATATTCTCCCAACCATTAAAGACAAACTACCAATTTTCATCTACCAATACCATCAACAGCAGCAGTTTTGCTTATGAAGCATTATCCTAGGTCTTTGGCTTGGTTCTTTGCAAACACAATTTTAAGTATAAACCACAAACCACAAACAAGCATTGCACTACAAAAAGTCTCTTCTTACTCTGTCATTCCCACCTGCATGTTAGAGTGCTTTTCTCCCACTGTTGATTTCATAACCAGACAATATACTTTATAGAGGATCTATTAAAAGAAATATAGTGCATGTTAAAATATGGGTTATTTATAAGACTTATTTAAAATATACTTCCTCTTGTTATCCAAAACTTTGGAAGTACATATTTATGACGACAGAGCACTGAGCCAGGAGACATAGATCATAACAACCCATTTTAAGGACAGCATCTTGGAAGCCTAGAGGCTTTCCTCTATTTTCAATTTGTCAAGATTCCAGTCAATTAAAGTCTTGGGTTGAATCCAGTGTTAGATTTTCTTAAAGGGCAATAAGAAATCTGTCCAGAAATTTTTTTTCACTTGAGGCTCTATTTTTAAGGAGTCATTTCTTCACAAATTTACCCAGTTTGCATTATAGAAATAGTCAACCCTGGTAAAATTGTTTTCTCATTTATATTTGAAAAAGTCCCCTTGATTTAGAGCTGAGATGGTTTGTCTATGCACATCCTTGAAAGGTTGAAACTGAATTATAGATGGCCACCTGGCCAAGCCTATCTGCCCATTCCCCAGCCTCACCCTACTGTCAGCTTTAAGAGTGTCTATACTGAGCATAGGTGAAAATAAACAATTATCTAGAAGCCAAAAGTAATATTGGTGAAAGAACTAGACAAAATAAACTCCATATTATCTAAAAATAACTTGCCAAAGTCAATCAGGGTGAAATCAATAATTGTTAATGGAAATAAAGCAGAATCTTGGCAATATTTGTCATAAGAGTTAAGAAGAGCATAGCAAATAGCAAAAGAGCACTGTTTGACATTTGTGTTTTAAAAAAAAACCCTTCCTAAGACTATGTCTTTTTTTGCATGTTGTAAAAAATAGGAAACACCATAAACCTTTCATTAAAATCTAGTCATCACAGAATTGTTAGCAGCATTCTTACTGTGATATTTTTATTCAAAGTGTACTTGATTCAGAGTTGAAAGTAGACATGGATGGAGGGCCCTGGATGTAGAATTGGGCAATAGCAACATGAAAGGACAAGAATATGCAATTTAGGGCGTGAGAAATAGCACAGTGGATAAGGTACTTGCCTTGCATGCATCCAACCTTGGTTTGTTCCCTGGCACCATCTGAGTGCCATGAGAAGCAATCCCTGAGCTTGGAGCCAGGGGTAAGCCCTGAACAGTGCAGGTATGGGCCAAATGTATCCTCCCAGAAGAATGTACACTTTAAAGGATAACAGGTTCCTTTTTGGGGGGTACATGGGATAGGTGACACCCAGCAGTCTAATGCTCAACTCAGTGGTGCAGAAATTGGGCCCAGCATTGCTCAGAGGTCACCAGGTTTCCATCTGCCAATGCGAGGAGTCCACAGGGGCCACACCTACTGGGGGGCAGGAGTAGGATGGGGATGTGGTGCTGGGGACTGAACACAGGGCCTTGCACATGCCTGGCATGTGTTCAGCCCCTTGAACCATAACTCCTGCTCTCATAAGGCACATTCGTAAACCTCTGAACATGAACTTGGGAGCTATGGGTCCTTCTGTTGTGTTCTCATGGTCCCTTCAGGGAAAACTGTAGCTAAAGCCCCAGGATTTCATGATTATAAGGGATGAGGAAGACTACAATTTCATTTAAAGGTGGACTGAGGTGCAGAGAGGCAAATGGACAGATTACATAACTAAGTAAGCCTAGATCAAATTTTTGCTGTTTTTGGTCCTATGCTTCCTCTTGGATGGAGAATGAGATATGGACAGTCATCAGTATCACAGGAAAGTGAGAAAACTCCAAGCAGAGACTTTGTATCATGTTAGATAATTCTTACAGAGAAGCTATTAAATGTGAGCGATCCTATTCAAGGGTTCGTTTGTTTGGTTTTCTTTTCTTTTTTGATAAGTGGCTGGAGCGATAGCACAGCGGGTAGGGCGTTCGCCTTACAAGCGGCCAACATGGCCGACCCGAGTTCGATTCCTCCGCCCCTCTCGGAGAGCCCGGCAAGCTACCGAGAGTATTCGATATGCCAGACACAGTAACAACAAAGTCTCCAATGGAGACGTTACTGGGCCCGCTCGAGCAAATCGACGATCAACGGGAGGGCCTTTTGATAAGTGCATCATTCTACCATCCACTAGTGTTTACCTAAAGAAAAATATACTACAGAACCAATTTCTATCTTTCCATTTACTTTTTTTTATTTTAATGAATCATGGTGAGATACATTTACAGATTTACAGATTTTCATGATTGCATTTCAGTCAAACAATGTTCAAGTACCCATTCCTCCACCCATGCCCATTCTTTCATTTACTTTTTTGAAAACAAAAACTGAAAGAAATACCAGGACAACTCGCTGTTTCTCAGGAAGTACATCAAAAGTTTCACAAAATTATAAGACTTCCGTAAACATTTTTCCTTTAACAGGATTTAAATCTAACCAGATTTTCAAATTTCATTTTGCTACATAAACTATATAAAATAGGTCAAAAAAGGAGAGGAATCAACTTATAGGTAATACTGCTATAAAATATCTGATATATTTTAGGCATAATAAATATTTGCTGATACATAAGTTAATTATAGTCAAATATCAACCTAGAACATTTCTTATAAATAAGTCAAACAACTGTTATGAGCTACCCTCCCTCCTTCATCTGAGTTTTCTAAGTTTATAGTCTATTCTGGTTATGTCCTCACTCAGCAGCTATTAAATATTATTGACTTGCTATAACTTAAAACTCTATGAGCTTTTCTTGAACGTTAAATAATGTTAAATATATCTTAAGTTATAAAGTGTCATGTAGACTAGAGAAGGAATAACTTGAACAAAATTTAAAATAATGCCTTTAAAAAAATAGAACTCTACTTTTCATACCATACTTTCAGCCTTGACTTTGAAGATGGAGCATATTAACAAGGGATCTTACTGAAAATCAATCATTGCGGGGAAAGGCAGACATTCAGTTACTGTGCAGTACTGCTCACTGACACGAATGTACAAGTAATAATCAAGGGCATCTCAGGGTCCAGGACTGTCAGCCTTTTCTAATGCTCTCTTAGCAGCTGGATAATCACCGTCAACAGGATGGCTGTCCACTGTCAGAGGGGCTGCCTGCTGGTCATAACAAAGGAGGACACTGGTTCCTTTAGTGACATCCCATGAGGATAGGTTAAACGCCCTCCAATAAATGAAGACTTTACACTCTGACAGAGTCACAGACAGGCCTTAGTCAAGCACACACTTACACCAGAAATGGACCGACTTGGGAGCCATCTGTCTATCTGATCTGCACCACTTTGGTCAGTCTCCTTATGTGACAGACACAGGGGGCGGGG